TCTTCACATGCATATTCTAAACTTATATTGAGCCAATGAATGCAATGAATAGACGACGGATGTCTGGAAGTTTGGTAAAATGCAGCGTGTGTAAAATCTGATATTTTCATTGGTTTACATTTCAAACAAGCAGTCTTACGAGCACAGCGTTCGTTTTCACACCCAATATATTTCGTTTGATTTCATTTAGTCACTTGGTATATGTGACAAGGACCATTCGTTGATTTCTTCTGAAATATATGTGGATATACGTGGCGCAATACACGTCACGTGACCTGCCTTCGCGGAACACGGCTGGTGAACACTATCCAATATGGCGGACAGCTTACTTTCAATGTTCGTGAAGTTTCCAAGTCAACCCAACCTGTTCCAGGATAACCGGCCACGTTTCACAGTTACTGTTGGTGATTTGTTGATATCAATGGTCACTGATGTGCTATATTTATAGTCCAATCACCCGAACTAATATCCGATTTTTCCATTTCACACGCATACATTTTACATACACAAATTAACGCAGTGAATCGCGATTTCGTAGCGTGTCAAAACAGGAGACATTTAGGATGTACCGAATCTTGAAAAGTCATTATTAGCTTTTGCTTTGCCTTAATTGATAGTGCCTGGTGTCACGAAACAGTAATTACAAGCATAATTTAAAACTGTCAAATGTATTTGTGTGCGATATATATTTTGAATTTCTTCGACTTCAAAGTGAAGGTTGAAGTGCAGGAACATACATGTTCCTTTAGCAATCAGGGTGTAACGAGTCCACGCTGTGATATGTATTTAATTGTACTTTATAATGAGTGAGCGAGTTAGTATGGTTTTACTCCGCTTTTAGCAATATTCCAGCAATAACACGGCGGGGGACACCATGAATGGGCTTCACACATTGCAACCATGTGTGGAATCGAAAATGGGTCTTCGGTGTGACGAGCGAACGCTTTAATCACTAGGCTACCCCGCCGCCCCAATTGTACTTTATAAATATGATGCAGTCTGATTTGATGATGGAACTGGTGTGGTATTTATCTGGAACATAGCTGCCCATCACTTGATTCTCTGGTTTGTCGCCGTTTGTTGTGTAAACGCTGCAATCCCATATAATCTGTCTGTATGAAGTTGGTCTCCTGATGACCGAATCTACGCCGCTATAATCTATCTGTATGAAGTTGGTCTCCAGATAACCGAATCTACCCCGCTATAATTTATCTGTATGAAGTTGGTCTCCAGATAACCGAGTCTACACCGATATAATCTATCTGTGTGAAGTTGGTCTCCAGATAACCGAGTCTACGCCGCTATAATCTATCTGTATGAAGTTGGTCTCTAGATAACCGAGTCTACACCGATATAATCTATCTGTATGAAGTTGGTCTCCACATAACCGAGTTTACACCGATATAATCTATCTGTATGAAGTTGGTCTCCAGATAACTGAGTCTACACCGAGATAATCTATCTGTATGAATTTGGTTTCCAGATAACCGAGTCTACACCGCTATAATCTATCTGTATGAAGTTGGTCTCCAGATAAGCGAGTCTACACCGCTATAATCTATCTGTATGAATTTGGTCTCCAGATAACCGATTCTACACCGCTATAATCTATCTGTATGAATTTGGTCTCCAGATAACCGATTCTACACCGATATAATCTATCTGTATGAAGTTGGTCTCTAGATAGCCGAGTCTACGCCGCTATAATCTATCTGTATGAAGTTGATCTCCAGACAACCAATTCTACACCGATATAATCTATCTGTATGAATTTGGTCTGCACAGATAACCGATTCTACGCCGCTATAATCTATCTGTATGAAGTTGGTCTCAAGATAACCGATTCTACACCGCTATAATCTATCTGTATGAATTTGGTCTCCACAGATAACAGATTCTACACCGATATAATCTATCTGTATGAATTTGGTCTCCACAGATAACCGATTCTACACCGCTATAATCTATCTGTATGAAATTGGTCTCCAGATAACTGAGTCTACACCGCTATAATCTATCTGTATGAATTTGATCTCCACAGATAACCGATTCTACACCGCTATAATCTATCTGTATGAAGTTGGTCTCCAGATAACTGAGTCTACGCCACTATAATCTATCTGTATGAAGTTGGTCTCCACAGATAACCGATTCTACACCGCTATAATCTATCTGTATGAAGTTGGTCTCCAGATAACTGAGTCTACGCCACTATAATCTATCTGTATGAAGTTGGTCTCCACAGATAACCGAGTCTACACCGCTATAATCTATCTGTATGAATTTGGTCTCTAGATAGCCGAGTCTACACCGATATAATCTATCTGTATGAATTTGGTCTCCAGATAACCGATTCTACACCGATATAATCTATCTGTATGAATTTGGTCTCTAGATAGCCGAGTCTACACCGCTATAATCTATCTGTATGAATTTGGTCTCCAGATAACCGATTCTACACCGATATAATCTATCTGTATGAAGTTGGTCTCCAGATAACCGAGTCTACGCCGCTATAATTTATCTGTATGAATTTGATCTCCAGATAACCAATTCTACAACGATATAATCTATCTGTATGAATTTGGTCTCCACAGATAACCGATTCTACACCGATATAATCTATCTGTATGAATTTGGTCTCCACAGATAACCGATTCTACACCGATATAATCTATCTGTATGAATTTGGTCTCCAGATAACCGATTCTACACCGATATGATCTATCTGTATGAAGTTGACCTCCACAGATAACCGATTCTACACCGCTATAATCTATCTGTATGAATTTGGTCTCCACAGATAACCGATTCTACACCAATATAATCTATCTGTATGAATTTGGTCTCTAGATAGCCGAGTCTACACCGCTATAATCTATCTGTATGAATTTGGTCTCCAGATAGCCGAGTCTACGCCGATATAATCTATCTGTATGAATTTGATCTCCAGATAACCAATTCTACACCGATATAATCTATGAATTTGGTCTGCACAGATAACCGATTCTACGCCGCTATGATCTATCTGTATGAAGTTGGTCTCCAGATAACTGATTCTACAACGATATAATCTATCTGTATGAATTTGGTCTCCACAGATAACCGATTCTACACCGCTATAATCTATCTGTATGAATTTGGTCTCCACAGATAACCGATTCTACACCGATATAATCTATCTGTATGAAGGTGGTCTCCAGATAACCGATTCTACACCGATATAATCTATCTGTATGAAGTTGGTCTCTAGATAGCCGAGTCTACGCCGCTAAAATCTATCTGTATGAATTTCATTTCCACAGATAACCGACTCTACACCGATATAATCTATCTGTATGAATTTGGTCTCCAGATAACCGATTCTACACCGATATAATCTATCTGTATGAATTTGGTCTCCAGATAACTGAGTCTACGCCGCTATAATCTGTCTGTATGAATTTGGTCTCCACAGATAACCGATTCTACACCGCTATAATCTATCTGTATGAATTTGGTCTCCACAGATAACCGATTCTACACCGCTATAATCTATCTGTATGAAGTTGGTCCCGATTCTACGCCAGACAATCTAGTGACTGACATTATGAACATCGATCTACGGATGCGATGATTTGTGTCAACGAAGTCAGCGAGCCTGACCACCACCCGATTCGGTAAGCATACCTGCATACTTCAATCTTTATTCTCTCTTGGGGTGTAAGATTAGTGAGTGAGTGAGTGAGCTTAGTTTTACGTCGAACTTGGCAATATTCCAGCTATATGGTGGCGCTCATTATAAGAGTCTCCTGAAACATGTTGTCATGGGAGTCTCGCAGATACCGGTCATCATGGGAGTCTCGTGGACACCTGTTGTCATGGGAGGCTTGTGGACACCGGTCATCATGGGAGTCTTGTGGACACTGGTCATCATGGGAGTCTTGGGGACACCGGTCAAGATGTGAGTCTATTGGACATCGGTCATCATTGAAGTTTTGTGTACTCCGGTCATCATGGGAGTCTTGTGGACACCAGTCATCATGGGGATCTTGTGGACACCAGTCATCATGGGGGTCTTGTGGACACTGGTCATCATGGGGGTCTTGTGAGTTGAGTTGAGTTGAGATTTACGTCACATCGGCATTTTTCCAGCCATATAGTGACAAGAACAAATTTGCATTAGTAAATATTGTAAGTACATACTCGGAATGAGTTTTATTTCAAAGACATTTATTGATTACATTGTCCGGGGGTCTTGTGGACACCAGTCATCATGGGAGTCTTGTGGACACTGGTCATCATTGGAGTCTTGAGGACACGGGTCATCACTGGAGTCTTGAGGACACGGGTCATCATGGGAGTCTTGTGGACACTGGTCATCATTGGAGTCTTGAGGACACGGGTCATCACTGGAGTCTTGAGGACACGGGTCATCATGGGAGTCTTCGGGACACCAGTCATCATGGGAGTCTTGAGGACACGGGTCATCATGGGAGTCTTGGGGACACCAGTTATCAGGGGAGTCTTGGGGTCACTGCTCAGTCATGGGAGTCTTGTGGACACTGGTCATCATGGGTGTCTTGGGGACACCAGTCATCATGGGAGTCTTCGGGACACCAGTCATCGTGTGAGTCTTGAGGACACGGGTCATCATGGGAGTCATCGGGGCACCAGTCATCATGGGAGTCTTGCGGACACTGGTAATCACTGGAGTCTTGTGGACACCAGTCATCATTGCAGTCTTGTGGACACCAGTCATCATGGTAGTCTTGTGGACACTGGTCATCATGGGAGACTTGTGGACACCAGTCATCATTGTAGTCTACTGGACACTAGTCATCTCTGGAGTTTTGTGGACACCGGTCATCATGGGAGTCTTGTAGACACCAGTCATCATGGGAGTCTTGGGGTCACCAGTCATCAGGGGAGTCTTGGGGTCACCAGTCATCAGGGGAGTCTTGGGGACACTGGTCATCATGGGAGTCTTGGGGACACCAGTTATCAGGGGAGTCTTGGGGTCACTGCTCAGTCATGGGAGTCTTCTGGACACCGGTCATCATGGGAGACTTGTGGACACTGGTCATCATGGGTGTCTTGTGGACACTGGCCATCATGGGTGTTTTGTGGACACCAGTCATCGTGTGAGTCTTGTGGACACCAGTCATAATGTGAGTCTTGTGGACACCAGTCATAATGTGAGTCTTGGGGACACCAGTCATCATGGGAGTCTTGGGGACACTGGTCATCATGGGAGCCTTGAGGACACCAGGCATCAGGGAAGCCTTGTGGACACTGGTCATCATGGGAGTCTTGGGGACACCGGTCATCATGGGTGTCTTGGGGACACCAGTCATCATGGAAGTCTTGTGGACACCAGTCATCATTGGAGTCTTGGGGACACCGGTCATCATGGGTGTCTTGTGGACACCAGTCATCATGGAAGTCTTGAGGACACTGGTCATCATGGGAGTCTTGTGGAGACTGGTCATCATGGAAGCCTTGTGGACACTGGTCATCTCTTGAGTCTTGTGGACACCGGTCATCATGGAGTCTTGTGGACACTAGTCACCATGGGTGTCTTGTGGACACCAGTCATCATTGGAGCCTTGGGGACACCAGTGATCTCTCGAGTTTTGTGGACACTGGTCATCATGGGAGTCTATGGGACACCAGTCATCGTGGGAGTCTTGGGGACACTGGTCATCATGGGCGTCTTGTGGACACCGTTCATCATGAGAGTCTATGGGACACCAGTCATCTTGGAAGTATTGGGGACGATGGTCATCATGGGAGTCTTGTGGACACCGTTCATCATGGTAGTCTCGTGGACACTGGTCGTCATGGGAGTCTCGTGGACACTGGTCACCATGGGAGTCTTGTGGACACTGGTCATCGCTGGAGCCTTGTGGACACTGGTCATCATAGAAGCCTTGTGGACACCAGTCATCATGGAAGTCTTGTAGACACTGGTCATCGCTGGAGTCTTGTGGACACCAGTCATCATGGAAGTCTTGGGGACACCAGTCATCATGGAAGCCTTGTGGACACTGGTCATCATGGAAGCCTTGTGGACACTGGTCATCATGGGTGTCTTGCGGACACTGGTCATCATGGGAGTCTTGTGGACACCGGTCATCATTGGCGTCTTGGGGTCACCGGTCATCATGGGTGTCTTGTGGACACTGGCCATCATGGGAGTCTAGGGGACACCGGTCATCATGGGAGTCTTGTGGAGACTGGTCATTATGGAAGCCTTGTGGACACTGGTCATCTCTTGAGTCTTGTGGACACCGGTCATCATGGAGTCTTGTGGACACTGGTCATCATAGAAGCCTTGTGGACACCAGTCATCATGGAAGTCTTGTAGACACTGGTCATCGCTGGAGTCTTGTGGACACCAGTCATCATGGAAGTCTTGAGGACACCAGTCATCATGGAAGCCTTGAGGACACCAGGCATCAGGGAAGCCTTGTGGACACTGGTCATCATGGGAGTCTTGGGGACACCGGTCATCATGGGTGTCTTGGGGACACCAGTCATCATGGAAGTCTTGTGGACACCAGTCATCATTGGAGTCTTGGGGACACCGGTCATCATGGGTGTCTTGTGGACACCAGTCATCACGGAAGTCTTGAGGACACTGGTCATCATTGGAGTCTTGGGGCCACCGGTCATCATGGGTGTCTTGTGGACACTGGCCATCATGGGAGTCTAGGGGACACCGGTCATCATGGGGGTCTTGTGGACACCGGTCATCATGGAAGTCTTGTGGACCCCGTTCATCATGGGTGTCTTGTGGACACCAGTCATCATGGAAGTCTTGCGGACACGGGTCATCACTGGAGTCTTGAGGACACGGGTCATCATGGGAGTCTTCGGGACACGGGTCATCATGGGAGTCTTGCGGACACTGGTCATCACTGGAGTCTTGAGGACACGGGTTATCATGGGAGTCTTGAGGACACTGGTCATCATGGGAGTCTTGAGGACACGGGTCATCACTGGAGTCTTGAGGACACGGGTCATCATGGGAGTCTTTGGGACACCAGTCATCATGGGAGTCTTGCGGACACTGGTCATCATGGGAGTCTTGTGGACACTGGTCATCATGGGTGTCTTGTGGACACTGGTTATCATGGGAGTCTTGTGGACACTGGTCATCATGGGACTCTTGTGGACACTGGTCATCATGGGTGTCTTGTGGACACTGGTCATCATGGGTGTCTTGTGGACACTGGTCATCATGGGTGTCTTGTGGACACTGGTCATCATGGGAGTCTTGTGGACACCAGTCTCTCCACGCTGACATCTCCACGCTTCCACGCTGACATATCCACGCTGACATCTCCACGCTGACCTTCGAAATTCCGGACTGATTGGGACCGCTTCAAAGAAAGTCAAAACTAACCTCGTCTGGTGACGTGTCATTTTTTAGATGAGTATCGATTCACCGTGCACCTACATGGAATTGTAAAAAAGGGTCACTGGACAGAAATAACGGCACAACACCCCGATGTTTGTCCCGGCCATGTTTTGTTTTTGCCCACTAACCTTCCGCGTTAACTTGCATCAGCACAACGCCCATCGAGGTGGAACACAATGCCTGAAGAGAACACACCATCGTTGTGGACACTGGTCATCATAGAAGCCTTGTGGACACCAGTCATCATGGAAGTCTTGTAGACACTGGTCATCGCTGGAGTCTTGTGGACACCAGTCATCATGGAAGTCTTGGGGACACCAGTCATCATGGAAGCCTTGTGGACACTGGTCATCATGGAAGCCTTGTGGACACTGGTCATCATGGGTGTCTTGCGGACACTGGTCATCATGGGAGTCTTGTGGACACCGGTCATCATTGGCGTCTTGGGGTCACCGGTCATCATGGGTGTCTTGTGGACACTGGCCATCATGGGAGTCTAGGGGACACCGGTCATCATGGGAGTCTTGTGGAGACTGGTCATTATGGAAGCCTTGTGGACACTGGTCATCTCTTGAGTCTTGTGGACACCGGTCATCATGGAGTCTTGTGGACACTGGTCATCATAGAAGCCTTGTGGACACCAGTCATCATGGAAGTCTTGTAGACACTGGTCATCGCTGGAGTCTTGTGGACACCAGTCATCATGGAAGTCTTGAGGACACCAGTCATCATGGAAGCCTTGAGGACACCAGGCATCAGGGAAGCCTTGTGGACACTGGTCATCATGGGAGTCTTGGGGACACCGGTCATCATGGGTGTCTTGGGGACACCAGTCATCATGGAAGTCTTGTGGACACCAGTCATCATTGGAGTCTTGGGGACACCGGTCATCATGGGTGTCTTGTGGACACCAGTCATCACGGAAGTCTTGAGGACACTGGTCATCATGGGAGTCTTGGGGCCACCGGTCATCATGGGTGTCTTGTGGACACTGGCCATCATGGGAGTCTAGGGGACACCGGTCATCATGGGGGTCTTGTGGACACCGGTCATCATGGAAGTCTTGTGGACCCCGTTCATCATGGGTGTCTTGTGGACACCAGTCATCATGGAAGTCTTGCGGACACGGGTCATCACTGGAGTCTTGAGGACACGGGTCATCATGGGAGTCTTCGGGACACGGGTCATCATGGGAGTCTTGCGGACACTGGTCATCACTGGAGTCTTGAGGACACGGGTTATCATGGGAGTCTTGAGGACACTGGTCATCATGGGAGTCTTGAGGACACGGGTCATCACTGGAGTCTTGAGGACACGGGTCATCATGGGAGTCTTTGGGACACCAGTCATCATGGGAGTCTTGCGGACACTGGTCATCATGGGAGTCTTGTGGACACTGGTCATCATGGGTGTCTTGTGGACACTGGTCATCATGGGAGTCTTGTGGACACTGGTCATCATGGGAGTCTTGTGGACACTGGTCATCATGGGTGTCTTGTGGACACTGGTCATCATGGGTGTCTTGTGGACACTGGTCATCATGGGTGTCTTGTGGACACTGGTCATCATGGGAGTCTTGTGGACACCAGTCTCTCCACGCTGACATCTCCACGCTTCCACGCTGACATATCCACGCTGACATCTCCACGCTGACCTTCGAAATTCCGGACTGATTGGGACCGCTTCAAAGAAAGTCAAAACTAACCTCGTCTGGTGACGTGTCATTTTTTAGATGAGTATCGATTCACCGTGCACCTACATGGAATTGTAAAAAAGGGTCACTGGACAGAAATAACGGCACAACACCCCGATGTTTGTCCCGGCCATGTTTTGTTTTTGCCCACTAACCTTCCGCGTTAACTTGCATCAGCACAACGCCCATCGAGGTGGAACACAATGCCTGAAGAGAACACACCATCGTTGATGTACAAGACTGGTGGAAGGGTTTGAGGCTGGAGATGTGTCGACAGGTGATTGTGGATATAAAAACCCAGTCAACAACAACAGCAAGTCAGGAGTTCCACAGAAATCCCATGCAAGTCTAGGCGAGATCTTTGGCGTGAATATGTAACTGGTGACGTTACAATCGATTTTCTTGTGTTCATGGAATGGTGAGAGAGGTCTGTATATTTAGCTCAGGTCAAGGTCACCACAGGGTTGTTTTCCGACGTCGTTTTGTTGAATGTGTCATTCGCGCAGACAAACGGCAGTTTTCCTTGTCACCTGACCTGTTCACAAGTACATCCTCGAAGAACCACATTTGAAATCCCAGGCAGAATTCAGCATCCGCGTCTGCAGGATCCTACTAATAGAAGTGTCAGTACAGGTATTAGTACAGGTGTCGATACAGGTGTTAATACAGGTGTTACTAAAGGTGTGAGAACAGGTGTCAGTACAGGTTTCGGTACTAGTGTCGATGCAGGTGTCAGTGCAGATGTTAGTACAGGTGGGGCGGTGGGGTAGGCTAGTGGTTAAAGCGTTGGCTCGTCACGCCGAAGACCCGGGTTCGACTCCCCACATGGGTACAATGTGTGAAGCCCATTTCTGGTGTCCCAAGCCGTGATGTTGCTGGAATATTGCTAAAAGCGGCGTAAAACCAAACTCAGTCAGTCAGTATTAATACAGGTGTCGGTACAGGTGTAGTACAGGTGTCAATACAGGTGTTAGTAAAGGTGTCGGAACAGGTGTCAGTACAGGTTTCGGTACAAGTGTCGATGCTGGTGTCAGTACAGATGTAAGAACAGGTGTTAATACACGTGTCGGTACAGGTGTTAGTACAGGTGTCGATAGAGGTGTCAATGCAGGTGTTAGTAAAGGTGTCGCAACAGATGTTAGTAAAGGTGTCGATACATGTGTTCGTACAGGGGTTAGTACAGGTGTCGGTACAAGTGTCGGTACAGGGTATCGATACAGGTGTTAGTATAGGTGTCGATACATGTGTTAGTACAGGTATCAGTCAGTAGTCGGTACAGGTGCCAGTACAGGTGTCCCCTACAGGTGTCGACACGGGGGTTAGCACAGGTGTTGATACAGGTGTTAGTACATGTGGCGATACAGGCGTCACTTTTACAGATGTCACAATTTCTGCCAAATTCGTCACAACACTACCAAACCTCTATA